TAGCAGAGGGCCTGGGTAGCCCTTGGCCGGCCCTTTGGGGACAAGGGCTCAGAGACATCCCATTTATGCGATTCCTACACAGGACTGTGGGTGGAAGTGGGCCAACAGTAGGTAGCTGAGGGACACGTTCACTGATGTGTGTGCCACTACAGCACCTGACGGTAGGGTTGTGGGAGGTGGTGCTCCCTGTGCCTTGGATCACAGGAAGGAAATGGTGATCTCTGCAGGGGGCGGGGGGGGGGTGGCTAGTCCATGGCTGGGCAGGTGGCTGGGACTCCCCAGACGCGGCCCAGACATTGCAATGCAGCCACAAGCCCCTATCGCAAGCCTGGGATGGCAACACGGACAAGAACACCAACACCCCAGGGCAGGCAGGGCTTCTTTCCTGACAGAAACATGTAAACAGAGAGGGAGCTGCAGTATTCTTTTCCCACAGGATTCCTCAGGGAGGAATCGATCAGGATGTCATTCAAGAGGTAGTTTTATTTTTTTCTTTTTCATGGAAATTTGAGTCAACAACATTCTTACCTATTATAAGACATTTCAGAGAAAGAAAAAAAAAAAATGGTCACCAAAGGGCAAAAATGATCCTTTGGCTGGCAGGGCTGGCTCCAGGATTTAGAAGACCAGCCTCCACCAGTAACACAACTTTCTTCTTGGGCTTGGAGCAAACTCTGGCCTACCTCACAGCTTCCCTTTGAGCCTGCAATTGATTCTTGAGCAGGCTGTGCTTCATTTAGGGCTGCAGGCCCAGAGGAGGGAGGCCAGACGGGAGCTGGATTGGGCAGAGGGACCAGGCATTTTTATGAGCTGGTATACCGAGGCAGAGCTACCGTGGCTCATGTTGCAGGACAGCCAGAAGTCTTCAAGTTTCAACGTAGCCCAGGTCTAGCTGAGAAGGAAGCCCCAGCTTGCTCCCAGACTCCACATGTTCTCTAGGGCTCCTGCTTCTGAGGAAACAGTCCAGGCCTAGCTCTCAAGCCCAAAAAAAGAAGCTGCTGCTTGTGGCAGCCAAGAGAGGGGTTTCTGGGGACCCTGTAATTAAATACACATCCCTGAGCTGTGGCCCTAGAAACCCTTGCCTCGAGGCTAATCAGTTTCCAGCACCTGGTGGAATGATTGCCGTTTCTCATCCTGAGACACAGATAAAACATCATTTCACAGACACTGGACATAGATGCTTCAAGCTGAGGAAAAAGGGAGGAATGATTAACTGCAAAGGCAGAGGGGAGTGTAGGGGAATTCTCATGGATCAAGTTGGGGAAAGTAAGAATAGTGTGGGTGTTTTTTTTTTTGTTTTTTTGTTTTTTGTTTTAGTTTTGTTTTTTGTTTTAAAAAATCAATAAAGAAAAGTTTAATAAAAGAGCTGGTCTGAAAGCCTGGATTTCTTAAAATAATTGCAAAATTTTAAAAAGCAACAAGGAAAAAGGCATATAAACCAGGGGCCCAGAGCTCAAGACTTGGAACAACTGCTCAACTTCCTGCCCTACTGAGAGGCCAGGGTCCCCTTACTTCGGCCAACCTTGGACATGGCTTAGGTGCTGCCCAGTGTGTTTGTTCATCTGTCTCCATCTGTCCCATTCCTCAGGAAATCAAGAACAAACAAAGTTAGGAAATGGGGAGCAGAACAAGGTAGCTAACTCAGAGAGCCCAGGGTTTTAAGGACCTGGTAACGTATTGGCCATGGCAGGTACTCACATCCCTGAAATGGGGTGGCAAGTGAGAAGCAAGTCGGTGTGGGGTGGGTGACTGTCAGCAATACCTTAGAGACCCTGAGATTCCCTTGATGTATCCTCTGGTTCTGGAGAACAGGACAGGGAGGTTCCTGCGTGCTGCCTTCTATCCCTGGAGGCTCGCTCACCTCACTTACGGGGCAGACATGGGGCCGGGTGTCCTCTGAGCCAGGTGGAGTGCTTAGAGACAGGTTCTGGGGAGTTTCTCCAGACTAAGGGCGAGACCACTGAACCTCGTGAAAAATTCCAAAATTCTACAAAGGAGCCAGAGAGCATGAGTTGTAGGTGAAGTTCCAAGATTCCAAACTTTTATCTTGGGTCGAGAAAACACTTAATGGGAAAGGAAAGGAAAAGCCTGTGTGTTTCAATGCAGTGCACACAGCTTCACCACAGCTTTCAGGGTTATAATTTTATGGTGGAAAAACTCTCACTCAAAGTGAGCGCTGTTGGTAGCAGGGGATCAGAGAGAGGACAGAAGAGAAGGGAATTAGAGACAACATGCACAACTTTTTTCTTCTTCCACTAGCAAAAAGGCTACCTTGTTAACCAAACATTATGGGAAGAAAGGCAAAAAACAAACACACCAAACCTCCCCCTCCAACCTTTCTCTGTGTCCTTCAAACCAAATTCACAAATACATCTAGTGGCTGACCTAATGTCTCCACGCTGCTAGCTACACTCCTACCTTCTCCTCCTAATACCTGAGTTTGCAATGCAACACATTCACTTTACCCTGTTTAAAAAAAGCCCACGTCATAAAAGGACTGGGTGCAGAAGACATTAAAGGCTGTCCACAGGTCAGGCTCCGGCTTGGAACACACGGTCACTTGGCTCAGAAATTCTGCAGGGCTCTTGGCAATGAATGGGCTCTTTGTTCTGTGGAATCTGCTGCAAACATTTGTAAAAATGGATTTGTACAATGGCAACTTGCAGAACCTTTCCCCCACTCCACAAATTAACAACTTGCTCTGTTTAATGCTGCGTTATTGGAGAGACATGCTCTTGCCTTGTCAGAGAGCAATTTCCTTTGATATCCAACACAACCGGTAAAATGCTTAATTTAAGAGAAAAGCAATTTCAAAAAATAGTTTGACACATGGAGGTCTAGAGCAAAGAAAGATACTGCACACAGGAGCAGTCTTGGAGAAGGGGACTCTGATATATGTCTCCTCCCCTACCTTGAGGAAAGCAGCTTGGAGTCTGACCTGTAGCCAAAGAATGTGATCTAGTTGGTTAAATAAAAAAATTCAGGGGAACAAAAATATTGTGAACTTAGAAATAAACAGATACACACACAAAACACTTCCCATCAACTAGTGAAAAACATTCTGGTTGGAGCTTTTCCTGAGGAACATGTCTCTTTTCTTTTTCAGAGCAGCTGGAGAAATGGCATTAAGGAATAATGAATGCTCTGAGTTTTAGATCCATCAAGGGACAAAGTCATCATTCTGCCGGTACCCGTAACATTTCACTGGGAAGAAAAGATTACAATCTGACACGGACTACCTGGTATGCACATGATGTGGTGGCTGACTGGGTAATTTTGCAAGGCCGGGTTGGGAAGAGAGCAAAAGACCTTTGACTAAACAGGAAAAACAAAATGCTGTGGGCCCCTCAAGCCCACCCAGGGAGGCACCCAGTTAAGTGGTCTGTCTGCTGCACTGGCTGTGGGAGGCACCTGGGTATAGGCAGAGACAACTGCTCCAGTAAGGCAAAGAAAGGAAAAGCACCTGAAAGAACTCGAAGACAGACATGGTATGGCCGCTGGCTAAAGCCAAGAGGGTAAGGAACATTTCCCAGGACTAGGTAGGGCAGGTAGTGAAAGACTAGGAGGTCCAGGCCATATCTGCAGAGGGGGTAGCCGGACCCTGAGGAACATGAGGTAGTTTCGAGCCTCACCCCACCCCCTGCCACTTCCCTTCCAGGTGCTTTGGACTCCAGCCCTCTAGGCCTTGGTCAGCCAGGCCACTGATAGTCTAACAGGCAGCTGGGCCACTCTGATCCTTGGGCTTTCTAAGGAAACCTGGTCTCACTTTGGAGAGATTAGGAGAACTTGGGAGTAGAATGAAGAGGCAAAACTTCTGTTCAGCAGATGGGGGGATGGTCCTTCCCACCGTATGAAAGACTGCAGGTTTGGGATTCAGTCCTGAGGGTGGGACGAGATGGGGTGAGGGGAGGGACAGGGAAAGGAAGATTATTCTTCTGGCAGTCTGGCCTTTGTCCCACTACCCTTTGAAGAAAGCAAGGTGAAAGGAGAATAAATTAGCAGTGGGCACCAGGATTCAGAGCATGACATTTTGTTCAGTTTTTTTTCAAAGGGCCAATAGGAAGCCAAATTTATAAGAGAGAGACAGGAGTCTGAGGAAAGTGGACCTTGGTAGATCCAGGTAAAGAAACTAAGTAGCTGTGACCCCTAGGGAGCTGGTAGACAAGTCCCAAGAATTAACTTACTGCCAGGGACTTGTGGGGATGAAAAGTTGACAGTGGCAGAAACTGACAGTGGCGGTTCAGACGGTGGGGGCGGGGGGAGCCCACAGCATGGTGTGAGAACAGAAACCCTTCTCCCTGAGGACTTGTATGGAGGGAGGACACCTAACTTAGATTTGGTCACTGTGCCCTTCCCCCTCAACTGTCATGCTTTCCAAAGAAAAGAGATGGCTAAATCCTTATCTCCTGTCCTGTTCCCAACGTCTTCCCCACTTTGCTTGGTAAACCTCCCAACACCACTTTGCCCCTTTATGATGTGCTCTTTTACTTTTACCTGGCAATTCGGTAGCTAGAAAAAGGCAGTTCGCTCTCTGACAGACTAATGTAGGAGTCTGCTGAGAACATGTGGAAAAAGTAGGGATGGTCACATCCCTCCCTTCCCACTGAGGTAGTCGTCTTTGTCAACATTATGGAAATATTCATCTCAGCCCCATCCCACCCTCTCCCTCAAAATACAAAAGAACTATCTCTAAACAATGACAACACTATAACATTAAACATCTTCACATTCTGTAAACTGCAAGGAAATGCATCGGCTGCATTTACACAAAAGCATGTGCATCATGTTGAAGGCCATACATTCAACTCTGTCGTGAAATAAATATATAGAAAAATGAGGTTAAAAAAACAGACAAACAAACAAAAACTCTTCTTGCTATGGAGGCGACTGGAAACACTGCTCCACAGCCTCCACCTTGGTCTCTCTGGCTCTTTCTTCTGGAGCCTGTCCTGCCCACCCAAGGCGTTGCAGTTGGCCTGAGGTGGGGCGCTGGGAACAGGTCATTCCTTGCCCACACTTGTCTTGCAGGAATGCAGTACCACCTTAAAGAGGAGAGGCAGCTGCTCCAGGGGTACATTCACCATCTTTCCTGGTAACAAGGTGGGAAAAGAAGAGTTAGCAAGTGGCTGCAGTGGGAAAGTGTAGCTGCCTCCTTCCTCTCAGGCTGGTAAAGGGAGAATGTTGCCTTTTTTTTTTTTTTTTA